TTTGTTGAGTAGTTTGGGGTAAACGCCTTTCGACATATTAGAAAATCCTGTCTAAAAATAATTTCTGTATTATATTGATTTTTTTTCTAGTATTTATGTTCTTAATAATAAATAAGTTCAATATGAAGAAAAATTTTGCTTTCATTATCATAACGATGTATTAATTTTGGATTAGAAAAATCTTTACAAATAATTCAGTATAACCTGAAGAAAAAAAAAAAACATTTTTATGGTACTAGAAAAGCCTGTAATGTAAAAATAAAAATATTTCTTCACCTTTTCACTTAATTCTAGAAATTTCGAAACGTTTTTATGATAAAATAGTACATTCATAATTGAAGAGAATATATCTTCAGGTATAAACATAGAGATTTTTTCGAGATCCTGAGAAAATATTTCTTTTCACAAAAAAGATCTCAAGGCATTTTTCGAAACACAAAAAAATAACATTAAATGTCTACTCAATTGTTGTTGTTTTTTCTTTAAACTATTTCTTCCTAGAGAACCATAATCATTGAAATTAGTTTTATATTAACGAAACATTTTTGACTTTAAACTATTCAAATTTTAACATTAACAATTTACTTAAATAAGTTTCATATTAGGGAAATAAACTCATTTAATAATGATATACTAAGTAAAAATGAATTGATGAAACTACCAAAACAAAAAATAAATAATATCTTTTAAAATATTGTCGTTGATGTTTTATTGTCGATATGACAATCAAAATAATAATATATATTGTTAATAACTTTCGAAAGCATTGACGTTTTGATCTTAGATTGTTATTATCGGATAAAAAATTTCAATTCTCTATCGATTTCTGTAAGACTTTATCTATTGAAAAATAAAACTTATCAATGTGTCTTTTATTTGTTATTTCATTGGCGGACGAATTATATATTAGCTAAACAATCGATTTTGATCATTAGTTTGTCGACAGAAATAGATCTATAGAATTAAGTTACTATTGATCTTTATATGTCAATCGATAGTGCTTTTCAAAGGCTACACAATCGTATGCTTATGAAATCAAAAAATGTCGTTTAAATAAAGAATTTAATGCGCAATTTTTAATGTCTTATTTGATTAGTATTTTGATAGATTTTAATCATAAAAGTGACGATTTACGTCAAAACTAAAATCATATTTGAAATCAGCAGAGAAAACTGAGTCGATTTATGTATGTTTCAAAAATATTTTTACGAGATTTTTTCTTTCATATCGAAAAATTTATTTTTCATTCCCATTATATTCTACTCAAAAATAAAAAAAGTATTTCATTGAAAAAGTCATTTCTACAATGTAGAACAGTTTCTAATGTTGTTAGATAATAACAAAAACAAATACAAAATGGAAGATGTCTGAACAATGAATAGAATTTCTTTTATTTTTCAAGTTGATTCTTAGGAGAGGAGGATCAGAGGAATTTTTTTTTTATATGAACAAAAAAAAGTATTTGTAACATACATAAATCAACTCAATTTTCGATATTGATTCCAAATTTCAAGTTAATTTTGACATAAATTTAAGATTTGTTTTCATTCCCATCTATCAAATCATCACTTGAACAAGACATTGAATCATATATTAAAAATAATGTGCGTCAATTTTCTTAATTAGAGAACATTTTTTTTTTAGTTTCGCAAACATACGAATTTGTAGCCTTTGAAAAACATTATCAATTGACATATGAAGATTAAGAATAACTTTAACAACATATGTCTTTTTCTGTTAACAATCTAATGATGAGAACAGATTGTTTAGTTAACATACCATTGGTCGTTAATAAAGTGACAAACAAAAGACATAGATACTGTTTTTTTTCAATTGACGAAATCTTATAAGAATCGATGTAGATTTGAATGTTCTATTCGATGAGAATAATTCAAAAATGAAAGGGCTGCTTGCCATCAAAGTGAATTAATAAGATGATACCTTAAGAATTTCGAAAATCATGCCAACAATGAAAAATTATAAAAACATATTTTTCAATCTTAATTAATCGAAATACGATTAACTTAATTACAAATTACTATTGTACCACTCAACGTAATATTTTGTTATTAAAAAGTACATAAGTTCTTTTAACAGTTGAAGAAATAGTAGATTGCCGGTTTTATATGGTCTCGTCCTTTAACAAAAAGAAAAAAAACACCAGTTTCGATGGAACGCAAAAAAAAATCTTATAAAAACAACTTTAGGGGTTTTTTTCAAAAATTTTTCTTTTTTGTCAAAATAAATTTTTCATCCCACTATCAAAAGACAAAACAACATCGAAAAGAAAAAGAAAATAATATGTCTATTTCGATTTATTAACTAAATCAAACGGAACTCGTCAAGCATCTGTTAACCTTGATTGATTTTATATATTTCAATTCTTAAAAAAAAAAAAGGTAGTATAGGTAACGATGTTGAAAACCACCCAAGAATATATCTTTTCATTCACTTTTGTTCGCTTCTTACTTCTTCAATAAGCAATTGTTGATTTTTGAAAGAAAGCACACATAAAGGCACTTCACAATCAGTTTGAAACATTTTTTTCTTTTTAAAGCAGTTTTATATATATATATATATATATATACATAGAAGAAATTATGTTACTAAATGCTACTGTTCAACATCGTGTTAAACACTATGATCTTTTATTAGCACGTGAATTAGCATCAATTGAACGTGAACATGAACAAAATTTAATAACACATAAAAATCTTGAAAATTCAATTCGTCGTGAAACATATCGAAAGAAAAGTACATTACCATTTGATGAAATTTATCATGAACAAAATCAAACATTAGATTATCATAAAATAAATATTTCGACAAATAATTATTTAAATGATAAATCATCTTCTTCAGTTGTTAGTAGTATTCAAAATGAAAGTCAAATTGATGAAACAATACTTCAAATATCTTCGAGACATCAACGACAATGTTCGAAACTTCAACGTTTACCTCCAATAATAAAAGCAAGTTTATTAAATCGATCAAAACAATCAACTAATAATTCACATTGGATGGATCATTTTCGACCATTAAATAAACGAAAAGAAAGTTTTAATGATACATTATTAGAACTTAATGAACAATTATCAAAAGCAACTTTACCACGAATAACACCTATAGAAAAACAAATTAATTCATTTATGGAAAGTTTACCAACATATACAGGTATTCAAAGAGGTTTTGATAACTTTGCTCCATCATCTCTTTATTCAAGTCGACCACCGGTTATTATGAAATAAGATTTATATATTTTATTTTAATTTATGCTGTAAAAAAAAGAACATTTGGATCTAGTCATCTGTTTTATTTCTACAAACATTTTTTTCTCTTATTATTATTCTCTGTGTCATGTCTTGTTCTTTTTTCTTCTTCTAATCAATAAAATAAAGTCATTTGAATAATTGTTTTTATTGATGAGAATGAACAAATATTTATCAATTTTTATTCCCTTTTATAATTTATTTCTGTATATGGTATTTATCATATTTGACTTTTAGTTTTTTTAATTCAGAGTTGTAACATTATCATGATAATTCTAATGAATTATTATTTTCTATTCTCTTTATTCTTTTTATTTCAACATCAAAAACTAGATTACTAACCGGCTATACATAATATATATATATATATATATATACATAAATAAATAATAAGAAAAGTTCAAATTTTGTTTGTTTCATTAAATATGGTCAAGCTAAATAAACATGTTTTTGACATTTATATATATGACGAATATCATTAAGAAAATTGACATTAAAAAATGAATATATTAGTAGATTACACTAGAAAAAACAAAAGAATAGACTTATAAAATTATTTTTGTTTTTCTTACTCTTATTGCACTTTTAATGTAATAAAGTAAAAATAAAACTTCACAATATTCATATGGTTTTATATTAAATAACGTAATTATGATTGATGGTAAATATATAAGAATAAAAGTTGCTGTGACAATAAATAATGTTAATGTTGTTCAGCGTTAATTAACGATATTTATATAAATTACACGTTGGCTTTCTTTATACAGTTTTATATCATTTTTCGAGAATTTCAAATGATTTTCATAAATTCAATGATGTTTATCGAATGTGTTTGAATTTAATTTGAACACACATTCATGTCTATTGGCAAAATAAGTTCCAATGTAATATGCATAACATTTATTGTATTTGTAAAAACAAAGTAACGTTGACTTTAGGTTTATTAGACAATTGAAAGCTTTCATTATGACGTTGAGGAATAATAAAAATGTATCTTGTGATTTTATAGTCATGAATAAAAAAAAGTGCAACAATCACCATTAATAAATATAAAGAATTCTTCTTATTTCTTTTTGAATGGCGATAAATGAGGATCATCAGTTGTCAATATATGATGTTTACTTGTGTAATAGGGTAGATTGAACAAAAATTACTAGTTGAAATTTTATGTATATTGTTAGAAGAAAATAAACAGTACAGTTTAGCCTGTCCGATAGGATTAAAGTTGATTTTTTTTGTGGTTTACCATTTCATCGTAATTCTACATGGATGACACAATCTTTTCTATGTTCGTATTGTCATTATTTACTATTAAAACTGAAAGTTATATCTTGTAGTTATAGATATCCCATGTCACAATAAGTTGACCACTTTTAGCTGTAAATTGCCGACTTTTACCCAGTTTTCATTACATGGATATTGTTTATCGTGTGTTAAAAAACTCCTAAGATATGTTCTTTTTACAGTAAATCTATTTTTCAAAATTATTTCTTTTTTATATCTAGTACTGATCAATCAACAGTTTATGTGTTACTAATTGTTGTAGTCAAACAATTACAAATGATAAAATAAAAAAGAATATTTAATGAAATAATGAGCGATATTTTTTCCCTTAAATTCATACAGACTTGTACTGAAAATAATATAAAATGTTGAATAACTATTGTTTGTTATAATATATAAAATATATGCCAATGAAAAGACGATTATATAACTTATAAAGTAAATATTTTATTGTAAATTTTAAAAAATAATCTCTAGTTTTTTTTTCTATTCAGAATCATTTTTAAGCCTGCACATTTCAACATTTTGAAAGTGAATTTTTTCAGCATTGATGACTAATACAATTTCATATGAGAAGCATCATAAAATGAATCTAAACACACTAGAATAAAAAATGTCCCATGTATCATACTTTGTGACACATTTTGCTTAGCAACGGAACGACACATTCTGAAAAATTGGTTTTAATCTAGTACTCAGTGCATCTTTCATTTGTTTTCTTTAGAAGTAAAAAAGGATATTTTTTTCAATTTAATTGACGAACTACTGTCTGTTTAAAAAAAAGAATGACCGTGGGTATTTTTGCAATAACTCAAAAATGGAAAGAGTTACAGAGCTGCAGTTTTTACCAGTCGAAAGAGGAAACATCGGAACGTCTTTTTCTTCCAATATTATATAAGAAACTGTTTTAAAATCAGTCATTTTTACAAAACACCGAAAAAATCTATAAAAATGATATGTCATTTAGATCAAACTATGACAAAAAGTAAGAAAATTTACTTCAAAATAAAGAAAAATCCATATTTTTCGAGGGACTAAGTAGACAATTTTATTTGCTTAACATTAGGATGTGTGGAGATAATCATTCGAGTTATATCTTAAACCATAGATCTCAGGTTCCTCAATCTAAAACACATACCAAAACCAAAACTTCATCGGAATGACAGACAGTTTTATTGTATTTTTTAAAATTTTTGCAGAAATGATTGGTTTTATAACGATATTGTCTCATATAATATTGGATACAAAGACGTCCCGATGTCTCCTCTTTTGACTGATGAAAATCACAGCTCTGTACCTCTTTCCACTCTTGAGTTATTGCAAAAATACTCATGGCCATTCTTGTTTTAAGTAGACAATAGTAGTCATTGTTCTGAATGTTCAAGGCGGTCAGATCTTGCGATCTAACTATCTCGAATTCGTTCAATCTCGACTAAACCACTGCAAGGTATTATTGAAATGTTCTTGACCAATAACTGATCATGAAGTAATTTAGAAAAAAAGAAATAAGAAAATACATAAGTTCATCATGTTCAATTGAGTTCACTATTTGTAGCTTTATGTGAAAATAAAACGATGAATACATAGTCAGCGGACAGACTATGATGAATTCTTAATACGACATATTCGAATTGTGACACAATTTCATAGTATAATTTACAGCACAATAACTAGCGGCACATTTTGTTTTAGTGTGAAAGCATTTTCATCATGTTCATTAAGTACACGTGGTTGTAATTGTCGCAGATATATTTGAAACAACAAACTTTATTAATTTATTTTCAATATTTTTTTCAGGTCCGTTGAGAAACTCTTCCAGATCATGTTCTGTCATTATCAACTCATCATTTACAGTAACTTGCTGATTTTAACGTTCAAATCCAATCAATGCCAAACGTTCCACAGATATTATCAATACCTTCTGTTCCAACATCAACTGAAAACTTAGTTATCAAACCTTTACAAGATAAACTTAATAAATAAGAGTAGATAATAGCACAATTATGCTCAGAACGAAAATCCATTAAAGCAATGCGTCATGTAAAAGTGCTATTTACATCTTATTCAACATCAACATCAACATCAACAGCTTACGATTCTGATATTGAAAGTTTATGAACTACCTTCCATGAACTATTTCAGCTACTCTATCAAAATTGCATTTAAATAAAAAGAAGCTACGAACAGGTCTTGTAGTTTGTGATGCATTAATAAAACAGGTTTATGATAGTAACCAATTAACTCAGAATGAATTATGTAAATTACAAGAAAAATTCAAATTATCAAAATAATTGCTTGATAATAATAGTATATATATTTATCGTGCATTAATGATATTCAAACATTATTCGATGATGCAGGAAAAGCTTCTGTAGCAACATATGTTACATCTTCATCATTTTATCTATCAAAATGATGTTATAAATTTACTTTAAAATTATATTCATATGGTAATAAAACAGTGCATAATATATATTTATCATTGTATGTGACAATGATGCACAGTGATTATGATTCATTACTTGAATGATCATTTGGTTATTCTATAAGATTTTGTTAATATTATCGAAGCACGAAACATAATCATGTTATTGATAAATTAAAATCAGATATCAATAATGAATGTTTTCAATAGCCACACATCGATGAAAATAGACGTATCGGAATATCAGCATTTTATCCATTAAGGAAAATGTTGGATGAAAAATTTAGTTATGTTGATCAAGATATAATGATTACTAGAGTTATTGTTAGTTTCAACATCTATCGGGAAAAAGTCAATCAAACTGAACAAATATTATCAAATGATACTATTCATAACCGTTTCACACATTGAACTGAAAGTAGCAGATAATTATAATTGATTTTTTTTGTATTTAGATTGTTCTCTTCATAAATAAATACATCTCAGAGATGTCCATCGCGGCGCTGCCGCTGCTGCGGTGGCGGCAGCCGCAGATTTTTAAAAACTCATCGCGGCAGCGGTGCGGTGGTGGCAGTTTTTCTAAAAGCCATCGCGGCGGCGGCAGCTTTTTTTTCGAGGACATTCAAAAACTGCATGAATTTGATAGAATTTCATTGTTTACAAATGAAACACCCTGAGACTGAATGAATCTGATGGACTAGTACCAATATTTGTGGTCCAATACGGTCATAACAGTGAAATTC